TGACTGTGAAAGTGAGGCAGGGACACAAAAAGTTGCCTCCCAGCCTGGAGTGAGAGCATGGAAGAATTTAGGGATAGCCTGGCATGGGTGTGTGTATGTATATATATATATACACACACACACACATATATATATATTTTTTTTTTTTAATATATATATACACATACATATTTATTTTAAATCTATATATCCATATTTATTTATATGGATATATATATACACATACATACACACACACATATATATACATATGTATTTATATATATACACATATATATTTATTTTTAATCTATATATCCATATTTATTTATTTATATGGATATAAATATATGTGTATATATAATTTGTTTTTAAGTTTATTTTTTATTATTTATTTCTGTTTTTTTCCTGTGAAGTAGCAGGGGTTTAGCCACGGAGTAAGAGCACAGAAGAATTTAGGGATAGCCTGGTACGGGTGTGCATATATATATATATATATATATATACATATACATATACATATATATGCATATATATATGCATATATATATGCATATATATATATATATAAAATTATTTAAGGATAACCTGGCATGGGTGTATATATATATGGATATAAATATATATATATGTATATAAATATGTGGAGATATATATATATATATATATAAAATTTGAGCTTATTTTTTATTATTTATTTTTATTTTTTCCTATGAAGTGGCAGGGATTTAGCCACGGAGTGAGAGCACAAAAGAATTTAGGGGTAGCCTGGCACGGGTGTCCATATATATACATATACATACATATATATATAAATATAAATTATATATATATAATTTATTTTTTATTATTTATTTCAGTTTTCTCCTATGAAGTGGCAGGGGTTTAGCCACGGAGTGAGAGCACAGAATTTAGGGATAGCCTGGCACAGGTTTAAATATATATATATACACATATATATATATATATATATATATATAAAAAAATATACTTTTTTAATTATTATTATTTAAATGTGTCCAGGCTGCTCCTGGCTGTCTCCTTTTAGGGCTGCCCTCGCAGCAGCTCCTTTATGGGAGCCCTCACAAACCCCTGGGGCACCTTTGTGGCAGAGCAGCGCCGCACACCCCACCCCAAGGCACCGTAACCCACTCCAGCTTGTGCGGCCCGGGGCTGCCAGAGCCTCGCTGATTGTTCACGGTGTGCGCACAGGAAGGAGCCCCGCTCTGCTCCGTCCATCCCCTNATCCCCGAGCCGTTGTCCACCACCAGGGCAGCGATCTCCTCGTCCGCCATCCCGCCCGGCCTGAGGGCAGAGAGACAGCGGGGTGGCACTCCCTGCCCGTGGGGATGGGCAGGGATGCACCAGGGAGGGTGGGAGTTTAGCACTGAGGGGTGTGCAGGGAAAGGCAGGGAGGTAAAATATTGCTTTATGCCCTCAGAACATGCTTAGGAATAAATGCAGACCCCCAGAGGACAAGCACAGGGCTGTGGAAGGTGTCCCTGTCTGTGGTAGGGGGCGGGAGTGAAAACATCCTTGAGGTTCTTCCAACCCAAAACATTCTGAGATTCCCACTCTTTTCCCAGGGATCTGAGGGGACCCCCCTACACAGACCCCCAGCAGCACAGACCTGAAGGAATTAAGGTCCCCAGCACAAAGCACCATCCCTGCCAGAGCCCACACACCCCAAGGGCCCGAACACACACGGGGGAAACCCTAATCCCACCCCAATGGCTGCAGCAGGGGATGCCAACCTTCCCCGAGGGACCAGACAGACATGGAGAAATCCCAAATCCCACACTCAGAGCCTGAACAGACATTGGGGAACCCCCAACTCTGCCTAAGGGCTCAAACAGGCATGAGAGGGAGCCCTAACCCAGTCCTGAGAGGCCAAACAGACATTGGGGGAACCCTAACCCTGCCCTGAGGGGCCAAATATACATCAGAGGATCCCTAACCCTCCTCAGAGCCCCAAAGAGACATTGGGGGACCGCTAACCTTGCCTTAAGAGGCCAAATAAATATTGGGGAACCCCTAACCTGCTCAAATAGACACGGAGGGGGACCCTAAGCCCCGTCTGAGGGCCCAAGATGACGTGAAGGGACCCTAACCCCTTCCCCGAGAGACACACCCTTAAAATCCCCCTCGACAGCCCAAACACACACGGAAAAGCCTCTAAATCCCCCTGAGAGACCCTTAACTCCATGCTGAAGGCTCAAAGGGACACAGAGAACTCCTCTAAACCCACCCTCACAGCTCGAATAGACATAATGGGACCTTAACACCCCTTC